ACGTCAACAACCCGTGAGCTACTGTGTCGGGGTTCTACTCGTAACTGCGCCACCAGCAGCTGGCGGCGAGGCCGCAGATGGTCAGGTGGTCAAGGGGCAGCTAATGAGGATAAAGCTGGTCGGAGGTGACGGCGATGGTTCGACGTTTGAGTGGGAGAACCGAAAGCTGCACACAGCTACTACTTACAGCTGCTCCCTTGCCCTTGTCGAGGATCTGAACCCGACGTTGGAGGTGGACAAGCAGACGTACGTGTTCAGCATCGACGAGTTGATCACCACACAGCACGTACTCCAAGCAGAGGTGGAAAGGGTGCAAGGCTGGGCGGCGGTCCCTGACGTGCGACCCCCACCACGCAACCAAGTCGCCCCTCTTCCTCTTCATGATGACCTCACTTGCATGGCGGGCGGGGCTCGCGAGACGGAGGAAGTTCCGACAGCTTCTGTTGATGGGAAAGTGGAGTGCCCGCTGTGCTTCTCGGAGGTGGGCGCGAAACTACTGCCGCAGCACATGGGGGGGCACATCCTTCAGAATGAGGTAGGACGCTCGTACGCACGTGCATCCGTTTTTTTCTGTGAGTTCAAAGGACTGCCTGACATTCCAAGTTGGACAAAAACCTGCAGGAACGCTGACAACGTTTTGTTTTGAATGCATTTCCGTTCGTGGTACTGCCGCTCCCACAGGGCCGACAGCAGCGCAACACGTGCGGCTTTTGTGGCGGGGACGTTGGGGAGAAGTGCAAGACGTGGGTTGTCGAAGAAAAGACGGGGAAGGCTGCGCCTCAGATACACTCCACCTGTTCTCTCGCGCCCAAGTTGGACTCGCGATCAAGTCGCGTTGCTTTAGGCCTGAAAGCGTTGTTGAAGTCCACGTCATCTACACCTTGCACCAACGCACCCCTGAAGTGCTTGTTTTGCAGCCCTGACAGGTGGGTGTGGAAGTACTCCATGTCCCACCACGTAGAAAACGAGCATGCGACTTCGTTGGCGCTGAACGAGGCAGATCCCAACACTGAGAAGTTCACAAGGAGCTTTGCCGTAGGCGAGGCTGAGAAGGCGGCGGTGTTGGGAAAGCTAAAGGGCAAGGGTACGGCTGTCAGAGCCCCCGTCGCACGCCGAACGGTCCCACACCAGAAGAGTACGGCTAGCAAAGCCCCCGTAGTACGCCGTAAGGTCTTCGTCGGGGGCGGTGGGGGTTGATGGTACAGATGAGTCGCTCTCAGACGAGTCACCCTCAGACGAGTCGTCAGCGGAGAAGGGGGACTCGGTTGAGGACGAGAGCTCGTCGTCGTCGTCGTCGTCGTCGAGGAGGACGAGGAGGACGAGAGCTCCTCGTCGGAGGAGACGGAGGAGGAGGAGGGGGAGGGGGAGGGAGGGGTGGAGGGGAGGGAGGAGGAGGAGCAGGGGGAGGGGAGGGTGGGGGTGAGGGGGGACGCGGAGGGAGGGCGAAGGCGCTCGGGGCGAAAGCGCTTGAAGAAACGGCAGTTTAGTCTTGTTGAGGGAGGTGGAGGGGCCTGGGGGAGTGAATAAGTACTTGAACGCACGGTAATTGCAATTGTGGACGGGTGTTGCACGTGGTGAAGGTGGTGTTACTGCCGTAGGCTCATCAGCAGCCCCTCCTCGGAATGTTGGCGCATTGAGTATGCTTGGATTCCACGGCTTGGTTCTGGCGTGTCGTGTGCTATTCTGCATTATTCGCCCGAGGTCAAATGTCGCGGACTTGTCGCAGAAGCATTGAGAAGTTCGAAGTTACTTCTAATGCTTGAGGGGGTGTCCCCAAGCACTGTACTCCCAAAACTTGAAAACCAACTAGAAGTTAGTAGCCCATCCAACCTGTAGCCCATCACCAAGCAAGTTGCCATCACAACTATTTATACTGAAGTAGCGATCTTCCGGCGCCGAATGTACACACCATCAATTATCTCAAACCTATCCAACAACTACGTGGTAACAAGGTCCTTGTGCACTTGTGCGTGCCGTAAACACCAGCACACGAAAGCATAACCAATGGAGAGGGAGAAAGCTAACAAAGCCTTCCACAAAAAATGTACCACGAAAAAAGAAAATTTTTTTCGTCCCCCTCCAGGGGGGGGGGGGGGGGGTCGGGTAGGTGTGCGGGAAGACTTTTTTTGTGCGCCCTTGTAACGCACTAATAAAGGTCTTTTGTATGCCGTACACTGCGCTCTGTTGTAGCTATACAGTAGAGGTCCCTGTTTAAGGCCGCCCTGTGACAGACGAAATAACCGGCCTTAAATAGGGCACCCGGCCTTATTGGGAACGGGTCTTGTTTAAGGCCGGTACCGGCCTTATAGAGGATTGAGTTTTCCTCAATAAGACCGGCCTTATTGAGGAATATTGATGCTGCACTCAAGCCTTTCGGGACGGTGGCGGGCTCCAACTTGTCTGAAGGCTCGCAGGAAGCACGCTATACATGAAAGATAAATATTGCCGCACAAGTCGTGACAAAAAATGATGTTGCATATTTCCAAATATGTATTACTTGCTGCCGCAGCTGACGTCAACAGAAAATATGTAGAAGTATATTAGAAGTATTTCACTTGGTACGTGCGAAGTACATACATATCTCATCGAGTGACACCCTCGTGAAGGTCGACAATAATACTGCCAATCCTGATCAGAATGAGAGGACGCCCACAGCAAAAAAAAGTCCGACGATCTGCACAACACAACAACCATGGAAAAATGCACATGTTGCACCGACTGACCAACTGGTGCTTACCCGTCGAACACAAAGTCGACACAAAAATCGAACAGCCCGACCTCTCCACCCCCAGATACACTAACAACGGCACACGAAAGTTGAAAATACAAGGATGAAACTGGACATGACACCGGACGCGTGAGAACCACACTCAACTGATGCCTCCCCCCTTGCGCCTATCGAGTCTACAAAAATTGCCTCATGTCTGTCTGCCTCGTTGCCTTCGAACCATGCGCTGCGATCATTGCCATTTTGGCCTTCTGAATGTGGAAAGCGGCGTCATGGTTGCCGCTCCCCTCCGCTGCCGCCTCCAGAGCCCCGAAGTGCGACGAAAGTGCCTCGAACGCGGCAAGATACGTCCTCCTGGCTATGAGCTTCCACTGGATGCCGGTCTCGTCGACGTTGAAAATGTTCCTCGCCGGGTACTTCTCGCAAGCAGCGCGGACCTCCTCCATGCCCTCTTTGATGCGGTCGTGGTCGACGCTGCCGGCCGTCCCATGAAGTTTGTGGCTGTGGAGGTCGTTGCGCTTCACGAAGTTCTTGCTCCACTTGTCGCCAGCCTTGAAGTCCTCGAGCCTCTTCCTCACGGAGTCAGTCGTTTTTTCCGAGCCCAACAGGGTGGCCTTGGCAGAGCGGCCGAACGATCGGATAACGTTGCCGGTGACGGTGTACTTCGCCATCCGCGCCTTGTTGACGAGGTCCAAAACTAAAGAATCCAACTGTACAAAGTCAGCAGCAAGCACCACAGGGTTCAAATCGGTGTGCGCGGGTTAGAACGGTACTGCTTTCACGGATGAATAATATCACAAAGTTACGCACCAGCACGAAAGTTCACGCCACCCTAGCCAAAATGCACATGCAGATAAAATGAGCAGTGGAAAAAAATGTGTATAAATTTAAATATGTTTGTGCCTTTTTTTGTCGTGTGTGGGTGGTGCATCAGATGAAAAATGTTCGTGGTGCTTCCAATGCAGTTGACCGCGCAAAGCATAATCTCAGTGCATAATCCAGACTGCTTTGGGGGGGGTCGCTATTTGCACACATGAAGCACTGCGATTTTTCTTGAAAGTGCGATATCAACCGAGTGTGGTACAAACGGCAGGCTGACAAAAAAAAAAAATCAACACCGAGTGGTACAATTCAGGCTGCAAAAAAAAAATCAATACATACTCTAGCATACCTCGGGAAAATCCCCCGCCCGAAGGTTTTTCCTTGAGGTGGCGCTGCTGCGAGTTTTGGCGGCCTGATTCTCTATCTTCGCCCGCTCGGCCTTGACGTTACGCACCGTGCGCTCCCCGCAGTTGAACTGCTCTGCGATCGACTTCTGCGTCCGCGTGCCCTTGTCCAGCAGACGTAGGATCTCCATCTTGGTGCCGATGTCCATCCGCGTCCGCGAACCAGTCATGTCCGGGTGGTTGGCTGGTTTCGTTTTTTTTGGTCTTGCCGTGTCTCCGCTCTCCGTGGCTGACCCTTTGCGCTTGCCCTTGCCAGCTGTGGAGCCCTTGCCAGCTGTGGAGGCATCACTAGCCTTTTGCTTTTGCTTGGAGGCAATGCACGCATAGCAGATGCGGGCGGTTTCGAACTCCGCATCTTGGTCTTGTTCCCCACACAGTCCGTGCAGTCTGCCGCCACACCCTCCGTGACATTGGTGGCCGTCAGGGGCTTCTGGCGTACGGTCTGGCAGTTGGCACAGTTCACCAGCCGCACAAGGCATGTGTGCCCCTACTGGTTGGGTCGGTAGGGGTATGCGCTAGGTATTGCTGTTGTGTAGATCTCTGGAGTGGTTGTGTTGCGGCTTGAATAATGCTGGCGAAGAACTGGGTGCGTCACACCAAAACCGGCCTTATATAGGGTGCGCGGATGCCCTAATAGGCCTTAAATAGGGACTAACCCTGTTTAAGGCCTATGCGGCCTTAAAAAGGAAGGAAAGTGTGACAGACGATTTCACCGGCCTTAAAAAGGGCCACCGGCCTTAAATTTGCGGCCTTAAACAGGGACCTCTACTGTATCTCGAATGGGTAGTCTTTCTGTGTGTGTTTTTATTGTTCCTTAATTTAGCTCTCTTGCAGCAGTTACTGCTGTACAGCAGCAGTCGTACAGCAGTCTACATGCCTGGAGTATATGGCTGTACTGATGTGCAGGTATGCGTCAGGACCAAACTGCTGCTACATGCGGGAGTGGTACCAATACAGGGTGCGTGTGGATCGCACACAGCTGTCGTATCCAATAGTGAGTGCTGCACACTCTTTTGCAGGTTGCACTTTACAGCAGTCATGCTGACCTGTTGCTCGAAGAAGACGCTGCAGCAGCCGCCTCCGCTTTGAGTGCCCTCGTCTCGGAGCCGCCTCCTCCGCCCCCAAGCCCTCGCCCATCTGCCCCTTTCCCTCTCCCTGGCCGTGCCCTTGCCCATGGCCGCCGCGGCTCTGCCCTCTCTTTCCGAGCCTCGTGCGTGGTGCCTCGTGACGCCGGCTGCCAACCAGGCTCAACAACAGCTGCTGTTGCCTCCCCGGCGCGATGTTCTTGGTTTACTGGTGACAGCAGTGGGCGCACACAAACGCTGACCAACCCGCGCACCAAAACAGACAGCAGCAGCAACGCTTTCATCGCATGGTTCAGAAGAAGCGAGGCTTGCTGCTGCTGCTGCTGCTGCTGCTGTTGCTGCTGCATGGTCTGAATGGATCTTCTTCCCGATTTGTCTGTGGCCGCATGAGAAGGCAGTGAGGAGCTGGTTGTGTGGTTAGCTGCGCACCACGCCCCGCCGTTTCTGGCTCTAATACTGCTGTAGAGGCTACTGCCACGTAAACATACGCAATTGTTCCGTGAAATTTCTTCGGAATATATTTTTCTTGTGGATCCAGATGGATCTTTATCTCAATACATCAAAGCGTACCGACTACTAGCCGACTAGTTGTTGCAGACCAAAGTCAAAGGCTATGACTCTTTATATACCTGTGGTATATAAAGAGTCATAGCCTTTGTTGCAGACAGCCGGCTGTCTACAGTCTACAGACGCTACCTCTAGGCCAATCTTCTCGCGAAAACCTATGCATGCATGCTGTTGTACTCCGTATGCTTCCCGTATGCACGCACACCGCGCAAGGCTAGGATACACCGTGGCCGACCTAACCTAACCCTAACCCTAACCCTAACCCTAACCCTAACCCTAACCCTAACCCTAACCCTAACCCTAACCCTAACCCTAACCCTCACCCACGGCCAACGCACGACCTAGCGGCCGCGAACTGGGCGAGAACGCGGCGCCGCGTTCTCGGAGTGCGGTATTTGTACGAGGGCGCTGGAGAGAGTCAAGACTAGGAACCAACGCCTGGCCAATCAGACGGCGTGAAGTCCAGATAGGAAGAGTCACCAAAAGAGTGTAAAAACTGGCTGCAAACCTGGGGGTTGGTTGGTTGTGGTACACCAAAATGAACGTGAACATGAACGGACGTGGACTTAGGGTTACACACACAGACTACTTGTTTGAGATGTGATCCATGTATGTTTGAAACGTGATGACTACTACCAGTCAGTGCATACCATATACATACATACCGTACCGCAGGAGGTGATGTAAGAACGGTATTCCCGCACAACAACCAATTTTCAAAGCTCGATGCCTCCACGACGAAGAAGAGGAGGTAGGTATGAAGTAACAAGATACGTTTTCGGAAAGCTCTCGACGAGACTGTTTCAACCCCGCTATTGTCAGCACTTCCACTCTGTCTGCTGACAAAGTATTAAGGAATAATAAAAACACACACAGAAAGACTACCCATTCGAGATATATAGATAGACCTATAGACGGATTTCCTACGGGCTGAGGGCTCACGAGATCGCAGGAAACGCAATCCTGATGCTCTCGTGAGCCTAGAGCCCCTTTTTTGCGAATATCTCCGCCCATGCACCTCCGTTCGCCGCGGGAATCGCTTCTGCCGGCAGCCCTGTGTTGCGAGGGCCCTCCCGGCGTGCCGCGCGCTCTCGGGGCGGACTGCGTGCTGCGCTAGCGAGGGCAGAAAATCGCGTCTCCGACATCTACCATGGATCCACCAATCACACCCCGATTTATTGACAGTGCAGGCCACTCATACATACATTCGGCAAGCGGCTGACGTGGATTGTGCGTGTGCGCTGGCTACACACCACACACCCTGCCACACACGACAACCAAGCCACCAAGTCTCCGCATGAGACGAGACAAAGTACTCTACTGCTGTAGTGCGTCTCCCTTTTGATCCAGGCGAAAGGCGGGGGGGTTAGCGGCCAGTGTCGTGCGCACAGCTGTCTGCAAAACTACACCCGCCCGAGAAGAAAAAAAAATGAAATAAATACGTTGTTTGTTCCTCCGGTTCATGGAAATACTTTTTTTTTTTCCCGGAAATATCTTCTGGATACCTACCGCACTTTATTGTAGAGCGGCTACCGGCACCGCATCACACTCCCACTCCTCCGCATCCCACCAACACACAGCAACACACAACTTCTACTGTCATCTGACTCCCAAAACCCTCTAGCAGAACATGTAGAAATACTACTGCTCAGCTGCTGTGGGTTTCCATATTTTCATAAATCGGCAGAAAAAGTTGTCTGCTTTTCTCTGCTTCTTTTGCTTATTATGTACACACAACGTACTGAAAAACTAAAAAAACTACCGTATGCATGCATACATACATACATACGCATACGAAATGATTTGCGCTGCTTTTTTTCCTCGCCTGCCTCCCGTACTCAACCTCGATTCTCATCACCGACGGCTGTACATCAGATCACATACATACGAAGACCGCACACCCGAGAAGTAGCGAACTTTATTCAGCTACAACGTCTCGCTGAGGGGGTGGGTAGCACATATACATACATGGCATGGGAGAGAGGGGGGGAAGAGAGAGAAAAAAAGCTGGTTGTTTGATGTTTCTTTCTTAGTTTAATTATTCGACACACTCCCCCCCCAGTAACCCCCCTCGTGTCTTATGAATAGTAGAGCATTTTAGGGGGTCGCTCCTCTGTTTTCTTATTGAGACGTTTCTTCTATGGTGTGGCCCAGGTGGAGCTATTATTATTGTGTTACGTAACCCTATTTTCCTACTTTTTTCGTGGAAAGTGAGCCTTTTTGTTTCTGAAAAACAAACTTCTTACTACTCCGAGCAATTAAAACAACAACATATTCGTGAAATTGAGAGCGAAGCATGAAATTGAGAGTCAGATTATTTATTGGAACATAGAATAGAACAGGCGTACGATTCCTGGAGAGCCAAATGTCTACTGCCTCTGAACCAGCCTCCCGCATGTAGAAACCAGCAGTTGAGCTATGCCATGGCGGTGTCAGAGGTGGGCAGAGTGATCAAGAACTTTGGTGGCGTCAGGAGAGAGGGTGCAGAGCAACGGGAAGTGAAGCTACATGGTTCGGACATATTTGTGTCGCACGAGTGTGCATGTGTGTGCATGATGTGAGCATGGTTGTGAGCTGCATGCGGTCCGCCAGCCATCAAACGCCAGAAAAAAAGCCAACGGCGGTGTGGGACGAATACACAGCAGCGTAGGCATGGACATGTGACAGCACCTATCAGTATGACACACTGGCTGCACCATGTTATCCCAGATCATCAGGACACTGGTGTAAAAGGAATTTCTCTGGCAATACTGAGTCTTGGGTGTAGACGCGACAAGATGCGTGAGCTCTGGAGCGAGCTGAGTGTGGCACAAATATGTTCGACATCACATCACACATCACACACACACACACACACACGCATCATGCAGGTCTCCAGCTGACAAAGCAAGACTGAAGAAAAAAAGCAACGGCCGTGCGAGACAAATACACCCAGGCATGGATGTGACAGCACCGGTATGACACAAAGGCCGAACCATTTCATCTGAGATCACCAGGACACTGGTGTGATAAGGATCTCTCTGAGCGTGCCGAGTCTCGGGTGTAGACGCGAAGAGATGCCTTGATCTCCATCTATGTATAGGTGCGTGCGAGCACCGGAACCAAACCGATAAAATGTTTTCCCGCTGATTTTGTTGTGCACATCGTGATCTCTTGTTTGAACAACGAAAGAAACACTGCTGTCGTTGTGTTGTAGTGCAGTCAGTACGTACACCAAGAGTTGTCTCTTGGCAGGGTAGTGTCGCATGATGATTGTCGCGTGTAAACCCGTACAGTACGTGACTACTACAGGCCGATTCAGCTCCGTTCTCAGCGCCCATCACTTTGGGTGCCAGAAGATCGCCGTTGTGCCTCGGCTAAGAGTAAAAAAACTACATAGATAGATAGAGACCAGCAGGGAGACACAGGCAGCCCACCCCAAAAGCACGCTTATCAGCCTTCAATCAACGTGCACAGGACTCACATGGTACAACAACACTATATATATATATATATATTCTTCACCCATCATGCCTCATCTCTCTCTCTGGCGTGGGACAGATAATAATATCCTTTCTTTCCAGATCCAATCTACTGCCTATCTATACTGCTGCTGCAGTCTAAGATTCAAACGCACAACAATACCACCACCGGACGGAGAGGGTACATACATACAGCAGCACCCTGAACAGTGATCAACCCGGTGCCGCATCCGCGGGGGAGAGCAGAGAAAGCGCACACCGGAGCCGATGCTAACGTACTGCCTCGGTGCTTGATGTTGTGGTTGCGGTGCGTGCGTGTGGTTCCCAGTATTGGGAGTGAAGGGTGGTTCGTCTACTGTGTGCAAAATTTCGCTCAAAGGCAAGGGTTTTCGGGACTACAGCTAGCTCCGATCACAGCTCCGATCACAGCTAGCTCTCTATTTGTAGTACAGAATAATAGTAAAATTTATCACGATTTTTATGCATTTTGTGCGATAATAGTGGATGATGGTCTCGATTTTCTCTGATGAGCGGGCCGTTTTTTTCGTCGAGCAGCAGTACTACTACTGTAGTACTCCTGTTCGTCACTCTTACATATACCGCGTCCCCATCCCTGTCTGTGAGCCCCACACATGGACCCACTGCTGCACCATCCTTGCCGCCGTGATTATTTATGGGTGTACACTGTCACTGTACACGCACGCATGCTTGGAAGATCTTTGACCGCAGAGAGCCAGCTGTTGTGGGGAAAAAAACAAAAAACTCCAAATTAACCCAGTCACGTAAGGGTTAAATACATACATACTCTGTCCTCCGGCCGTCGCGTAAAATATTAATATAGTCATTGTGCGTCTCTGCTCTTCGAACAAACAACAAACAAATTTATTTTTCCCTCTTCGCAGCATTTTTTCTTCGTATCTCTCATTTCAAAACTCCACCCGCACACACTTGCCATCGCCATTGAACCTACGAGCGTAGCGGCGACCGCGAAGCGGTACGCCGCGAAGCGCCCTTGTATATGTATGTACATATAAGATTTGGTCACTTTTCATGACTCGGCGTTACTTTCTCTCGCGGCAGCGAGTCTTTTATCGCGGTTCCTTCTCACGGGCACGCAGGAGGCTCGTCGGTACATTAACGCCCGTGCCCGGAGCTCGGTAGGCCTCCTCCGTGGCGCGTGTGGTTGACGGCCAAAGTTGCGAAAACTGGCTCAAAACCCCGGGGACGCGTTCCGCGCTGAAAAAGCCTGGCGAACCAATTCTGAAACCTATCGAACCCATCAAATACAACGGTTTGAAATATTTGCCTCTTCTTGTCTCTCCACGTTCATTTCGTTCTTTCATTCATTCATTCGATGATTCATGGCTGGCTGTGACTCTTCGTGTCATCGCGTTGTCCAACAGCAGTACCTACGTTTACTGCACTTCGCAGCGGGCCAAGTGTAGACAAGTCTGAGAGCATGCATCCAGCCGCAGTGTTGAACATGTCCCATTATTTGTGGTGTTGTTTCGGCTTCAAATTTGGGTCTCATCGGAAATAATCTGCCATCATCAATCAAAGACGTCATGGAATTCTGAGTTATCGCTGCCAAAATATTGTCCGCTCGAGCTGGCTCCAATCAATGTAGAATAACAACGTGCGGGATGTTTTGTGCGGAAATACAAGCGTTGTAAGACACACAGCAGTCCCTATTCGGGCAATGCGCATGTGGTCTTGCGTCACCTGAGGGAGAGTAGACACCCACGTCCCGAAGGGAGACCTTGTATATATGTATATTTGTTCTTCACTTCAAATCATCAGCGCTCACAGCACTACTAGTAGTGCCGTTTATTCCAACCCGTGGTCACACAGAAGAGCCTCTCTCTACCCTCCCCTCCTGCGGTACTTCGCCTTCAATTTTTAATGCGAGAAGAGTTCAGCACTCGAGATATACCCACAGTCGAACGGGATGTGGAGTCTTTTCAGTGAGTGGAGGGAAACCGGCTGGGTACTGGACTTATTTCGAGTATTTTTAAGTCTATACACTGATTATTTATACCAGTGATGATGCCAGCTGGTGCTAGGTACAAAAATATCTGTAAAGGTAACTTACATTTTACAAAACATCCCCTGTAGTTCTCTACTGGGTCAACGACAAAATATCGGGGAGAATCCCTCCGTTGTGTCGTATTATGATAGTCGATCGAGCTTCTTCGAAAATCAGCCAAAATGGGTGTGATATCCACCCGACATTACATAGATTGGAGGAAGAACCTCTTACTACATAGGAGTACTTTTTAATATGTGGGCTCCGTCCAACGGTGGGTTGTCAACAGCTTGGAGGGGTAATAGTGGGGTTCTCCCTACAGCAAGTGTCTACATTTCTTCGTAGCGGTACTCACAAAGCCACAGCGATGGCATTTTCCTGCTGTAGGTCGAGGACGGGTAACCCTGTCCACAAATTTCTGTGTCATAATCGATTGAAATTCGGTGAAAAAATTCGGTCCACAAATTCTTGGTCTCCCGTCCGTGTCGTGAACTACATAATATCTAGAAGTATTAGAAAGCCTCTTGTAACGACCGCTGCTTGTGGGCATGGTCCGGCTAACTCCACATTGTCGCCACCATAAAGAGACTTGAACCAACCTCCCAATACGGGAGAGCCTTGGGATAAATGCGTACGGAGAGACAAGCACGCCATCAGCTAACCGAACGCAAGAAGGCAGCTCTACCACCAGCATCTAATCTCCCCCCTCCCTCAGTCCGTTGGGCATTGGACAAATGCAAGGATCTTGCAAAAAAAAAAAAAAGCTTCCTCCGCAACAACGAACTTTGCGAAGTGCTCGCTTCAACTGCATTATGATGCACAAAAATACTGAGTGGAATCTCCGCAAGTTCTCGGTGGGCACAGCGCGCTTCCCTTGGGCTATTTGTCGAAATCTATGCAATTAAAGTAGCCCCATCAGCCTCATCAAGACAAGCTGCCATATCATTCAGCGGGCTTATTGGCCAACAGGACAACGTATTACCGTTGTCGCCTGAAAACTATCATCAGCTACAAGTAGTACCATCCGCAGCCGTACCCTCCGAGCAAAAGCTATCCTCTTGTTTGTCTGGTCAAGCCAATGAACAATACATAATTTTTTCGCCCATATTTTTTCTCCCAAACTGACAATTCCAAGTGCCTCGTGTTGAGGTTAAACGAACGAACGGTAAATGACACTCACACCCACACCCACCCGCGGATGTCAGGAACACGGGACTTTCGGTACAAGTACGTCGTTCATCACGTGGTGGTTGTTCATCAGGACAGCAAATCAACCCACTCGTAGACGAACCATCTAGTTGGCCCCACCAAGTCCGAGCTTGTATCATAGAGGAAAGAAGCCAAACGAGACTCTGGCGGAAGGCAATGGGCGAGCTGCATACAATCACCGCCAAACAAGGTCCAGTGACAGTTACACTTAAATCCCATGTCCTTTTCCCGACGCATGCATGCGCCTAAGAGAGATAAAAAACGCAACAAACACGCAGCAGTGCCACCGGAGCCAATCAGACACGCCGGCGGGGCCTGCCGCACTCCACTCAAAACGTGAACCCCAGGTGCAAACACCACACAGGCTCTACGATAAACACTATCCGGCGCGGGTAGCCATGGACTGACAACAAGCCCGCGTTTCGCACGGCAACAGCGGGCTAGCCAGCTGTACAAAGTCGAAACCACACAACCTAGCATGCCAGCAATCCCGTTACGGTCAACAATACCTCGAATCACTAGGAACACCGGGACATGAGCAATAAAATCAAAAGAACAATAAAGTACTGATATAATACAAGGAATGCCGGAAAATCGCGACTTGTCGGCCATTGCACACCACACAGCAGTGGCGCTATCACACACACGCACAGCGGAAGCGGCACTCACGTCCTTCGAGGCGCGCAAAAACCCAGCCACGCCCAACAATAAAAAATCGACGCCAGGCGCACATCATCTACCTCGACACACAGCAGTTGACAAAACCCCGTGCACCAGAACCACCCAATGTATAGCAAACTGACGGTCTCAGCAGTAGCGCCGCCGATCGCCTCACGCATCAAGATAAATAAACACCACCGCGGCCAAATACGACGACGCGAATAGCCAAGAACAAGGTTTGCAACAACAGCACACCAAGAAACGGCACGGCACAATATTCTTCTCTTCTACCAGAGGTTATGCCCGGAAGACCGAAGCGAGCCGGCGGACGGGATCCCGTTCCCCCCGCCCCTAGCCGCTCCGCCGCCGACCGTCCTCCCCGACGCCGCTGGGCGGGAAGCGGCCGCTGGGCGGGAAGCGGCCGCTGGGCGGGAAGCGGCCGCTGGGCGGTAAGCTGCCGCCGGCCTCGTCGTGTTCGAGCTAGCAGCAGCAGGAGCCGGTCGCCCTCCGCTGCTGGTGGCGGTGGTGCTGCTGCTGCTCCCCCCTCCGTAAGTGGGCTTGGACGCGACGGCGGTGGTTGCTGCGCGTGGCGATACCTACGGAAGAACACGCGGGGGGGGGGGAGCACGAGAAAGGAAGCGGGAAGTCGATTACTCCGCGACGATCAAGTTTCAGCCGCCAAGTTCGGGGGCACAAAACAGAGTTGGAATCAGTTACAGTGCCGAAGAGGCAGGCGCGTTACGAAGTTGAGCGACCTCCAAGTCTGCTGCTGTACCTTTCCAGGACTGCGGGAAAACTAACGCGGTCCGACCACAGACGCCGGTTGTCGCAGATTTTTTCGTTGCTCGCTCGTCGTTTAAGCTTTCTTGTTGCCTTACATAAAAAAGCCATCGCGACGGTTCACAGCATATCTGTAACGCAGGGCATCCCGAGGGTCGGTTCCGCCAAACGAAAAGGCAACAAAACCACACCAACAAAAAAAAAACACGCATGGCATCAACAACTCAATACAATCTGAAGGACGAAAACACATCATCGCGGAACAAATTGTGGAGTTTCGGTCGAACTCACCCTGCCGTTGCTGGCACCGCTGCCACCCTCCTCTTCCAAGTTCTTGTCGAGACAGAGCGCAGCGCGTTGTTTTTCCGCCGAGATGCGCGTCAGGTTCAATTTTCTCGGTCCTGCTTTCGGCTTCGCCGATCGGCTGGGGGGCGGCCGGTGTCACAACGAGCGGGAAGTGCACGAGTCGAGTACCAGCGGGAAAGAAGTTATGGCATCCACCCGAGGTTAACATTTTCTTGCCGGGGGGGGGGGGGGGGGGCCCCCCCAACATTTCCAAACCCCCCCAGGAAACCAAACCCCCAACGGAAACCAAAGGCCAGGAAAAAAAAAAAAAAGGTTGAAAACAAAAAGGGAAATCCCCAAAAAGGTCTTCTTCAAAAACCTTGGAGGATTTATTTAAAGGGTTTTGGCACCCCCCCCCCCCTCTGGTTTCAAACACCCAAACAAATTTTCCCCAAAAATTTGGAAAATTGGGGAACCAAAAAAACGGGGGGGAAAAAGGAAACTGGGGGGGGGGAACCTGGAAAAC